GCCTCTAATGCTCCAACTTACTCGCAGCCTCTGCCTCCAAACTCTACTATCATGGCCCCCCAGCACCCGCATTCCCCAGCCGGGGTGAAAGGAGAGCACATATATCCAGCTGGATCCCGTAGCCGTACGCTCCACACCACCGCCCCGTTCCAGCCCCTCACGGAACTGCCCTCCACTGAACATCATCATCTGCATCATCATCATCATATCTCCCACCATCATCCTCATCATCAGTCAGGGAGCCAGTCCCACCAACACCTCGACTGCAGCATCCAGTTATCACACGATGACGTGAGACGACTCAAGAAGAAAAAAAAAAAGTCCAACAGGAGAGATTGGAGGGAAAATAAATGGGATTCCCAAGATTTAGTCAGATTCGATGGAAGCAAAAAGAAGAGAAAGATAAGTTGTACAATAAGAAGGCAGATGAATAAAAAACAAGGCTCTCTTCGTTTGACAATTAGGCGAGGAGAAGGATCAGGTAGTGGAGGGTATAAGCTTGTCAACACTGGGGGGATGAAGGTGCAGGTCCTCTCGTCTCTCAAAGTCCCCGTGAAACGTTTTGGCTGTCCTATATGCCCCAATGCTGTGTTTTCCCGTAAAGCGGGACTGCTTGTCCACATGGCAGTTAAACACCCACAGAAAGCCTTGACCACTCAGGAGCGACTCAGGTGCAGTGTATGTGGGAAGCAGTCTCACAGGGCTTTGTCCGCCTTCATCCATCGGGCCTCCCATCGCGCCAGAGGGACTTTCTCCTGCCGACGCTGCTCCACTCGCTTCTGGAATGCTACGCTGCTCTACAGGCACAAGGTGTCCTGCCGCCGCAGGGCTAAAGGACTGCAGCGAGGAGATGCCAACAGGCTGAAGCTTTCAAAGAGACCAGAAGAGAGGCTGACCCGAGAGGGTCAGGAGGAGATACCGTACCTACAGGGACCATATAGATACTGAGCGTCCCGGTACCTGAAAAGAGTGGCACACCAGTGGGATATTTCAGTTCTAAAATGGGAAGGCGAGAAAACTAATAAAAAGGACTTAAAAAGGCAAATGCTGCCTTTTAGGATAATTTTCCTCATGTCTCTGTTGACATCTACTCTGCTGACTATTAGAATGAGTGTGTTAACAACTACTGTAGAGCATCCTATAATAGTTCACCAGAAATCCTTCCAGATTATATTGGAAGGTGTTTTCAAAGACGTGACTGTTTCCATAGGTTCATTAACCCCTTAAGTGCATTGACACTATGCTTGGCTGACACTGTGCAGTTACTAGACAAGTTTAGGTGAAATGACCTGCTAATGTACTTCTCTTCCCCATAACTAGACTCCCTGCTACACCTCTTGCTGTATGATAAACGTCTCTGCTGTGTACTTTGTCTTGTTGTTGTTCACTTAGAGGTTCTGAGGATTTTTTTAAACATGTAAAGTGCATTTATTAGGAGTAGGGACATGAGGACAAAGACCTTTGTTGATAGTTTGTCAGTGCATGTTTGTTCTCTGGTCAAGTTTTTAGCTGAGGTTGTGAAATCACTCCTACAGTATGTGATGGTTTATTCAGTATACGCCCAGAAGTTTGTAGTGTTAAAACTTGATTTAAAAGTTGCTCTATATTCCCTAGTGATTGAATCACATATAGATAAAATGTCAACGTTGCTGGTAATTAGCATTTCAAGGTTCCCTCTCCCGCCAAAATGAAGAAACTTACAAAAAGCCTTGCTTAGTATGTTCACACTACTTCATTTATTTGAGATATTCCTAGCTTTTATACCAAGAGATTGAAAACAGGTTAAACAAGTGGACTGTAACACATGTTTATCTCATGTTATTTGTATGCTCTTTTTAGCAGTGATTATTTCTACAGTACTTCACGGTGTGTTAACGACAAGGACCTATATCATAATAGAAACCAATGTAATATCCATGTATTTATGTGTGTAACCCAATCAGTCTTCATGCCAATCGTATACTTAACCCCTTCTACCTTTTTACTTTTTGCTGAGTTGCAATCATGTTCTTACTGTTAAGCCTTTTTTTGTTTTCTTCTGAAGCAAGTTTTAAGTACATCATGTCACTTTATTCACATGTGAAATGTTCATACCCCTGTCAAGCCTTCCCTTTTTTTCTTCTGAAGAAAAATGATAGTTTTAGTAGATTTCTATCACATTATTTACTGAGAAGTCAGTAGTTGATTATATTTCAGCAATGAATAAACCTTAAGTGTAATCATTTGTTTTCTTTTCATTTGTCATTTAAAATATCCCGAAGATGGTACAAACGGTGAGTCACGAGGACGTTGTAACTGTCAGCAAAGTTAGTATTGAAGTTTTAAAATGACATTTATCTTCATGTCCTGTGTGAATTCCATATCACTGTGGATTAAATGGTTTTCAGGATGTATACGAATCCGAATCACCTTCATTGGCTAAGTATTTATAAACATAAAGGGAATTTGGCTCAGTTTTTGTGCTCTTAATGTACACAGAAATAGACAACAGCGAGGAACAACGGCAACCGAGCGGTGTGTATATGAATATATTTTAAAAAAGCATATACATAAGTCTTTATACAGGTTAAGTGTTCGCTAAGATGCAAACTATACAAACAGTGCAAATAAATAAGTACTGATTGGTATACATGGTCAATACAGTTATGTACAGTATGTGCATGTATACATGTCTATATAGTGTATACAGCTTGTAGGATTTGTATTTGATATATCAATATATATGGTGCATTAAAAACTAAAAAAAGAGACCTATATTGGGAGCAGTGAATGTTTTGGTGTTACAGGGTTATTGACAGTGTGTGACTGATTTGACTCATCAGAGGGACGAGCTGTGGGAAGAAATTGATCTTGTGTCTGGTTGTTTTGGCATTCGGTATTCTGAAGGGGCTGCAGTGATGCTTCCGGCCCGTTTCCATGTATCTGGGGGAGTGTAAATCCTGGATGGAGGGGCTGGCTGCCACCTGTGATCTTCTCTGCAGTTCTAACTGGCTGATCCGAACCAGACTGTGATGGACGTGCAGAGAACAGGCTGCGTTATTGCAGTGTTGAATCGTACGAGCAGCTCCTGAGGCAGGTTAAAGGAAGTACATCCTCTTTTCTCTGCAGGTCCTGAGAGAAACCCCCAGACTCCTGAAGGATTCCACAACAGACAGTGCTGTTCATTGTGACATAGCAATACATTACATTAAAGGTCCTAGGTTTCCCATTGGGGTTGGCCAGATTACTCCAGGGTAATGAATTGTTCTCAATAATTAAAATGTGCAGTATATTATCAGTATACTGTGTAAAACTTCTCACTCATAGCGCCACCAGATGGCAGTAGGCAACTCATTTATACTGTACACTTGGCCTGTTGTTGATAAGTGTGGCAGTCACATGGATTTTGCACAGATAGGGGGTGGACTGGAGAGGCTGAGTGTTGTATGAGTGTGTGAATTATGTGCCTCCTGTCTGCTGTTTGCTACGAGATTAAGGCCACCAAGTAAACGCAATGCGTGAGAATCATTCGGTAGTCTCACTGAATGTTTAAAAATGAAAGGGTGAAATATACTTTTGCATGTGTGTGAACTATAAATTAGAAAATTAGAAATTTGATTATTTTTTTTGACTGTAGCCCTTTCTGTGATTCCAAATCAATGATTTCATGGTAGACAAATCTGAAACAGTAAGATACTTTAATGAGCAACACCACAATGTTGTGATTAATTTACTGTTAGACCGTTGAAGTGAAAGGAGTAAATCGTATATGTTAAAATGAGTCACAGGCGTGTTTGCGTTTGGATTGATGATAAAAAATCCATCTGACTTTCTTTCAAACAAAAAGAAGAAGATGATCCACACCCACTGTTGTTTTAGGTGTGGATCCAGGTGGTGAGGAACCCACAGCTGTATAGTTTTATTTAAAAGACAGGACGGTGTTAACTGAAGGGGCCCAGAACCCCAGAAGACAGTCCTGGTACATTTAATATTCACATTTAGTGCACTCAAATGGATTCTGTATATATGGAGCTGACATGTCCTAGTCTGGAAAACAAACAAACAAAAGGTGAACTCTTGTGGCGCGCAATGTTTTTGTATGTGCTCTGCAACTGTACAGTAGGCCAGACAGCCCTCGCGCTTTTTGTGTTTCGAACTGGTCTCACGCGGCAGTGGCATGCACTGGGGGGAATCCGAGCGGGCAGGTTTATTCGACCTATTTCTGTCCAATAGGCGCTCGTCGTGGGCGGAGCGACGAGTCTCCAAAGCCAATCGGTGCCGGAGCCGCGAGCCTCACAGGCCTCGTCTCCCGCGTGCCTCGTACACGTGAGCTGGAACAGCTATTGTACGCCGGGAGGCAACGTGCTGAAACGTTCCTCTCGCCTGAAAAAAACGGCACAGTCACGTTTTCTGTGGATTACAAGGAAACTGGAAAAGCCATGCTGCACTACCTGATTATTACAGAAAGCCAACAACTATGGGTGAACAGAGATGTGCAAACAAGGCTTGAGCCAGTAATCCTGAGCATGAATATGACCGTGATGTCAAGGTTTACTAGTCTAAAGACGGTTTACTGTGTGCCATCATACTAAATATAACACCACTTCATATCGTGATTGCTGCAGCAAATAACCAAACCTGGTACAAGTCACTGGGTTCGTACCCGTCAGACAAAACAAACAGCTTGCTGTGCTCGAGGTGTGGCACGAGGGTAGGTGTGTCTCATAAATTATAAGAGAGAATTGAGAGATCTGCTAAATCCCGGGGCCCCGCCCTCCTCGCGCCTCACTCGCTTGTTCCGCGAGGTGTGACGTCACGTGAACTGCCCGTGTCCGCTCCAGCTGAGAGAGAGCGAGAGAGAGAGGGGGAGAGAGAGAGAGGACGATCGGACGTGGACGTCGCGCGGCCCTAACAGACCTAAGCCCGTGCGCCCGTGACTGGATTCACCGGATGCAAAAAAAAAAGTACAGACAGAGAGAGAGGGAACCCCCCCCCCCCCCCCCCCTTTCCCCCCCCCCCCCCCGACGGACAGCAGAGCGCGACAGCAGAGGAGAGAAACACCAATACAACTTGTCATCTGACCAACACAGTCACTGCTCTCGTCGCTGTGCATGTTTTTTTTTTTGTACACAGTTTTGTTGTTTTGACGGAGGTCTGCTTTGCAACTATTTTGGGATATTCCTTTTGATTGCCGGAACGATTAACTCGGGATATTATTCTACAAGTTTTAATTGTAACATTTTCCCGTCCGTGCTGTTTGCGGGTTACGTTGTCATTTAGACGTTTTTGTGTTTTTTTATTATTTTTTATTATTATGGACAGTATTCTTTCTCGGATAGTCTGAGTGTCCCTCCCACACTGGTCCTCTGAGAATACCAGCTTCATCCACTGAAGAATTTTAACAACATTCAACTGCAATGGAATATTTCGATGAAAATATTTCTGCAAGGAAATAAGGAACTCTGCACAACCTCAAGTGAAAGGTAACTACATTTAAGTTGTCAAAGTATGATTAATCTGTTAATTCTATGCTCATACTTGTGATTGCATTACAATGGTTGCTTTATTCTGCAAGGACTCTTCTGAAAACTCTCTCTTTCTCTCTCTCTCCCCACCCCCACACCTCCCCCCTGTACACACTCGCGCAGTCATCCAGCATACTTGTCCTATTGGTAGGCTCTCCGGTCAGTTTGCCACGCCCCTTCAAGTGCCCCCAGTAGGCCTATCTTTCTACGACCCCATCTGGCCCAGGATGTCCAGGCAGCTCTCCCAGCTTCCGAACCCCGACCTCCCAGCTGGCACAAGCCCACAGTTTGGAAGTTGTACCCAGCCTGCAGGCTCCCTCACAGGGGGGCCACTCAACTCTATGGCAGGTCTTAAATCCCTCCTGCAGCACCCCATGAAGGGAGACCAGCGTTTAAAACCCCCGTGCGATGCAAAAGGTGAGACGCTCTCTCGTTGGATGAGTTGATACTATGTGACAGTGCTGTTTGTGTTGAATGTACAGCACAAGCACATGACACGGTCTATCTCCAATATGTGCAATGAATAAATCACACCCCTCTGTTCCACCCACTGATGCAGTTATTACAATACAAATATGCAACATTATTATATAACAAACATTGCATTTGTCTTATTTCATGGCACTCTGATGCACCATCACACACACACACACACACATATTCACGATGACTCTTCCATGACCCTGATGAGTATTCACCTGGATTATAATCCCCGCTGCGACTTCAAATTGGGAACCAGATTACAATGAGCGCGGGCACGTTTCGGTTCAGATGTAATGCGGTGCAGTTTCCAAAACGTGCCTTCAAGTATTGTGAGATTTGTTCAGGAGCTTATGTATGTGTTATGACAACAAATTGGTTTTGGCTCTTGCTTGTGCTGCAATTCAGCTACCATCTGGTCCATCTGCGAGTGTGTGCTTGTGTGTGGGACATAGGATAAAAGGGAGATTTTTTGCAGAAGTGCATCTCATGAATACACCTGCCAGAGTATGTTGAGTCAATGTTAGCGTCCACTGACTAAAATGTCTCCAGAAAACCTTTTTGTCAAAGAACTCTCTTGTGTACTGAAAGTTGGTCTTCATCATCCTCCATCTGTTCTTATTATGATTCTGCTCTCTTATCTCTGGTAGACAAAGAGAAGCTGGACGTTGATGAGGACTCCATGGGAGTGTGCCCCGTAAGGAATGGCAGTGCAATAGGCAACAGTACTAACAGTAACGGCTGTGGAGGAGGGAGTGGTGGTGGTACTGGTGCTACTGGTGCTGCTGGTGCTACTGGTGCTGCTGGTGCTGGTGGTGCTGGTGGTGCTGGTGGTGCTGGTGGTACTGGTGGAAATGCAGGAGGAAGTTTCAACCAGTTCTTGGGGCCGCTCTTGTGGGATCGCACCCTGCCTGCAGATGGGGGCCTCTTCCAGCTTCAGTACATGGACTTGGAGGAGTTTCTGACTGAAAATGGAATGGGCAGCATGCATAATAACAACAGCTCCAGTTCAGCCCAGATCCCCTCGCAGAGCTCCCAGTCAGCTGTGCCCAACCAGAGCTCCCAGTGCCTACCGCCCTCATCCCCACCCGGCTCTTCATCTTCATCGCCTTCTTCTTCTCCATCGCTCATCGGTTTGGAGGTGGCTCAGCCGCAGGGCCTCGGAGGTGGAAATGACTGTTTGCATGGTGAGTTCCCTTACATGGACCGATTTGTTCTTAGCTGAACCAGAGAGTAAAAAGTGACCCAAGGACGGGTCGTTTTTTCAAGGTTTCTCCTTATCAGCTCAAAACAGCAATATCATGGAAGAGGGTTCTGCAAACTTTGCAGAGTTGAGCAGCTGAAAGAGACAAATTGTCCCCTGATATGGGACTAGTAGACCCTACAATTAATAATGGTTGATATGTGATGAAGGTTATAATGTCCCCATAGGCTAGTGATTCAGCACTTTTAACTCTGCGTTTACAACAAAACACAATGGTGACCAAGCTTTTTATTTTCTGCCCTCTGGGGTCAAACTGAAGACAAGGAGACACGGTCACATGGTTCTACGCCTGAAAGAGAGAAACACACAAGAGTGTAGAAATGGCTGCTTGACAATGTTGGACATTTCTTTGTAGTATGGTGCAGTGCAAAAAAAGTTGGGCGAGGGAGCTGTGGAGAGAAGAGACAAAGAAAGGTAGACGACTTGAAAGAAAGAAGTCTTGAGCTATATTTGATGAGTCAACCTCACAAGGAGGTTTGGTTTTGTTCGGCATGTGATCTGTGTACTGCAGTGTGCAACACAATCAGCATTCAGTCCCAGCCCATTATAAACGTGCAGCAGGGTCAAAACAGTACTAAGAGAGAGAGAGAGAGAGAGAGAGACAGAGAGAGAGAGAGAGAGAGAGAGAGAGAGAGAGAGAGAGAGAGAGA